GGGGGAAGTGTAGGGGGCGGGTTTCTGGGATATACCCTTTGAGTGGTTGATGATGCATGGAGGGGATTGGAACCATGGCAGTGAGATGATATAAGATGGAATGAATGTAAAACTAAAGTTCTCCCACGTAAACTATCATATATAATTCACAATAAAACATTTTAAAAAAAAGATAATGGACGTTTTCATGAATTTTGTGTGCCCCTTGTGTGTGTTTATGTATGTATATTGTTGTCAAGTCCATTTTGACTCTTAGCAGACCTGTATAGGGTTCCCAATGAGTGATTGGTAGCTCTGAACCGCCTACCTTGCAGTTAGCAGTCCAATACTTATCCCACAGTGCCACACCAGGACTCAGTGTACATGTGGTGGTGTGTTGTGAAGTCATTTCCAACTTGCAGTAACCCTGCATTGGGTTTCCAAGGCTGTAAATCTTTATATATGTGTGTGTGTGTTTGTATAAATGGTGGTTATGTGCTGGGGAGTCAGTTCTGACTTATAGCAGCCCTGAATAGGGTTTCCAAGACTATAAATCTTTACAGGCGCAGAAAGCCTCATCTTTCTTCCACAGAACCACTTGTAGTTTTGAACTGCTGACCTTGAGATTAGCAGCCCAATTCATAACCACTACACTACCAGAGCTCCTTGTATATGTATGTATATAACTATCTATCTATCTATCTATCTATCTATCTATCTATCTATCTATCTATCTATCTATCTATCTATCTACCTACCTACCTACCTACCTACCTACCTACCTACCTACCAATGTTGTTGTTAAGTGCCTTCAAGTCGGTTCTGACTCATAGCGACACTGTATAGGGTTTCCTAGGCTTCTTAAATTTTTGCAGAAATCCTCGTCTTTCTCCTGCGGAGCAGCTGGTGGACTTGTGGCAGGCTTGTATATATATTTGTAACTATGTAAGAAAAGCACTGGGCTGCACGGTTGGAGGTTCAAACTCACCATCCGCTCCTCAGAAACCCTATACAGGATCCTTATGAGTTGGAACCAACTCAACGGCACTAGACAACAATATATATATATATACATATGTTGTTGTTAAGTGCTGTCAAGTCAGTTCTGACTCATAGCAACCCTGTATAGGGTTTCCAAGGAGTGGCTAGTGAGCTTGCACTGCCATCCTTGTGGTTCAAGCTGACATTAGTCTAGTGCATTAACCCACAGTGCTATACCAGGACTGTATATATATTTATATATGTTGTTATATAATGCCATCGAGTCAGTTCCAACTCATAGCAATCAACTTGACAGCACTTAACAACAAATATGTATTACATTATATATTTGTGTATTTGTGTGTATATATATATATATGGAACCCTGGTAGAATAGTGGATTATGAGCTGGGCTGCTAGCTGCAAGATCAGCAGTTTGAATCTACCAGTCGCTACATGGGAGAAAGATGAGGCTTGCTGCTCCTGTAAAGATTTACAGCCTCGGAAACCCTATACAGGGTCACTATGAGTCAGAATCAACACAATGGCATACCACCACCACATATTTGTTGTTGTTAAGTGCCTTCAAGTCAGTTCTCCTAGCAATACTGGATAGGGTTTCTGAGGAACCACCAACCTTGTGATTCAAACTGACCTTGTGGTCCAGTGTTTTATCCCAGGTAGAGAAAACAGTCCAGAAGACCAGAAGTGAAGAGTTTGGATGGCCAAGAAACTGAAAGGCCAGTGCAGCTTGAATATATATCGTAAGGAAATGAGCCAAATCAAGCAGCATCATGTCAACTGTGATTAAGAGTTGCGATTAGATCTTAAGTGCAAAGGGGAGTCACTGAAGTCCTGGGGATGAGGACATTATCATGTTTGTATGTTACGATATTAACACTGGCTGTTGTTCAGGGGAATGGCCATCAGGAGCAAGAATGGAAGCAGATAGAACAATCAAGAAGCTGGCTCAACCTTCAGCCAAAGAATGGACAGGCGTATAAGGTGAACAATAACACCAGGGAGGCATGCACTCAGAATAATCAACTATTTGAGATCAAAAGGGTAGCATTTGCTCAGGAAAAGAGCTCCGAAAGCAGGAATAGGAAAGGAGGAATGGAAAAGGTAAACACAGTGAGGATGTGGGGAGGAGCCTGTCATATTGTGGGGATTGCAATCAAAGTCACAAAACGTGTATGAATTGCTGATTGGAAAACCAATTTGCTCTGTAAATTTTTTCATTCAAACTACAACAAAAGGTTAAACAAGAAACTGGAATAGTTGGGGCAAGAGAAGGCCTGGACTAGAGGAATGGCAATGGGAAAAGAGTTCAACTTTTTTTTTTTTTTTTTTTTTTTAACTTTTTAACATGAATTGGGTGAAGATTTACAGGGCAGACCATCAGTTTTTTTTTGTTTGTTTTTTAATGTTTTATTGTGCATATCATCAGTTTTACATTCAACAATTCATAAACATTTTTTTTCATCTGATTATTGCAATCCTTCTATGTCACCCACCACTCGTCTGTCATTTGTTGTACTTCAGTGGCTTGTGTGTTGCTGAGATCCTGGAAGCTGCGCTACGGGTATTTAAAATACCAGCTGGGTCACCCATGGTGGACAGGTTTCAGCTGAGCTTCCAGACAGACAGACTAGGAAGGAGGAGAGACGGACTACTTCCGAATGTTTAGTCACTGAAAACCATATGAATAGCAGTGGAACACTGTCAGCACCAGATTATTGAATATTGAAACATGATGAAGAGCAGCAGAATACTGCTCAGGTTGGAAGACACTCAAAATGTGACTGGGGAAGAAGAGCTGCCTCCTCAAAGTATGACGCAAATGGAGTAAAGTCCTTGGGACCTTCGTTTGCTAATGGGGCACAGCTCAAAATGCAGAGAAAAAGCTGTAAACAGCCATTAAGAAGTACAACCAGAATGCTCCCTGGAAGCCAGAATGTCCAGACTTCTCATACTTCGTACATATTATCTATCAGGAGGGACCAGTCCCTGGAGAAGAACATCATGTTTGGTAAAGTGGAGGGTCAGAGAAAAAGAAGACCCCCCCAGAGAGATGCAGTGGCAACATGATGGCAGCAATGGGCTCAAACTTAGCAACAATTGTGAGGTTAGCCCAGGACCTGGCAGTGTTTCGTTCTGTTGTGCATAGGGTCACTGTGTGTCAGTACCGACTTGACTCGATGGTACCTAACAACAAACAATGTAACATCACTTATCCCACTTCCTTCCTGTGTTTCTGGTTTCCATGCCTCCTCTTAGTTGTTGTTGTTAAGTGCTGTGGAGTCAGTTCCAACTGATAGTGATCCTGTATAGGGTTTCCGAGGAGCAGCTGGTGGGTTTGAACCACTGACCTCGCGATCCAGTGCATCATCCTGTCCTTGGGTAGATACTGCACTTTTGATCTCAAATGGTTGATTATTCTAAGGTTTGCATACCTTACCAGTGTTATTGTTCCCCTCAAAAACCTACCTATTGTTTGGCTGAAAATTGAGGCACTGGTGTGAGTTCCCAGTTCCAGACCTGAAAGATGATCTAGTCCTAAGGGTGACTGTAGTAAAGGGTGAGTAAAGCCATAGTCTCAGGGTACAACCAGTAAGCCTAATCTTTTATGATTTTGCGTTTTGTACTAAGCCCTTCTAATGTGATTCCCGTCACAACAGTTAGGAGTGGTCGCTGGGCACCATCTAGCTCTTCTGGTCTCAGGGTCATGGACGCTGGTGTTCATAAGGTCCAGTAGTCCATCTGGGCTGTTTCCATGCATCTCTGATTTTCATTACTCTTCTTTCCTTTGGACAGGGAGACCAATACTTGTCCCTAGGTGTCTGCTCATGAGTTTTTCAGACCCTACAGGGTCGCTGTGAGTCAGAATCAACTCTACAGCATTTAACAGTCATTACAGGTCCACTTTTATGTTTTAGTGAAAACTATACCAAGGCTGTCACAGCTTCACCTTGAAACTCCCAAGCTCACCAGAGCAGACATGGATTAATTCCCCAGAGAGATCACACTATAACACGAGTTTTCAAATCTCTGGGGTTACTAACTCTATCTGTATCACCTCTATCACCTGTATCACCCTCTCTCAAAGGGTCTGTGGTCTGAACCTGAACCAGTCTGTGTCCCAGAAGCCTCTCATCTGTACCTTTTCTCCTCCAGGCTTACGCATCCATGACTATTTGTACTTCCAAGTGCTGAGTCCTGGGGATATTCGATACATCTTCACAGCCACTCCTGCTAAGGACTTTGGAGGTATCTTTGTAAGTTTCAGGAGGCCCCTCCACTCTGACCCTGTCTTCCTCCCCTCCTCACTGCTCTGAGGTGTCCCTCTCATCCCTTCAACCAGTACCTGAGTGCTGCCATGGCCCAGTGCTGGGACAGGGAAGGGAGCAGAATCCAGCTGTGCCCTCCAGGGGCTGCAGTGCAGGGAGGAAACGCTTCCAGCTGCGCCCATGGGTCTAACACAGACTTGGGCACCGGCTGTCATGACATAATGAGAAACCAAGGGCGCCAACTTCCTCTTCCAGCTCTACTTCTGAACTTTGTGATTTAAGGCAAGTCACTTCCCCTGTCTGGGTTCACACCAGCTCCCCTCCCTATCTCAGAAAGGCAGGGTGGGGTAGGACAACCAGATAGGCCTTTGTGAGAATCAAGTAAAACTGTTTCTTTCACACTGTGAGGAACCAATTGGATGGGATCTTCAGTCAGTCCCAAAGTGAATGTATCTCTTCACACTCTCACCATCTGAATGTCTTTCAGCACACAAGGTATGAGCAGATCCACCTTGTCCCTGCCGAACCCCCAGAGGCCTGCGGGGAACTCAGCAACGGTTTCTTCATCCAGGACCAAATCGCTCTGGTGGAGAGGGGGTAAGGAGCAGGCATATGTGAGCACAAGAGAACAGACATAAGGCAGATTTGGAAATATAGTTGTTAGTGATACTTGGCCATAATTTTTTTAAATGTCTTTTTTAAAAGTATTTTGATGTAGCACTGCGGGTTAATGCTCTGGACTGCGAGGTCAGTTTTAACTGCAAGGTGGCGGTTTAAACCCACCAGCTGCTCCTAAGAAACCCTACACAGGGTTGCTATGGATCCAAACTAACTCAATGGCACTAAACAGCAACAATAAGAGCCCAATAAAGGGCTTAAAAATATGCATTAACCCACAGCGTCACACCAGGACTCCTTGGGCTATCATTAGCCACAATCAAAAATCTTCCATTGTCCTTTTGAATGATGGTTTGGAAAGGGGTAGCTAGGACTGTTTCCATCTCATCACCACCTCTTCCAGGGGCTGCTCCTTCCTGTCCAAGACCCGGGTGGTACAGGAGCATGGCGGGCGGGCAGTGATCATCTCGGACAATGCAGTTGACAATGACAGCTTCTACGTGGAAATGATCCAGGACAGTACCCAGCGCACAGCTGACATCCCAGCCCTCTTCCTGCTCGGCCGAGATGGGTGAGGGCTCTGTCTCAGCACCAGCTGGGTGCCATGACTCGGGGAGGTCAAGGGCAATCACTATCCCCTTCTCTCAGACCTCATCATGGGGTGCCCCAGTTGGAGGGCCAAAGAAGTCCTCAGGCTCTGAAACTCCCAGTGATGGGGACAGCGGGGCATGAAGGGGTGTTGGGAAGATGACCATCGCCACCTCTCTTCATGCCTTCCCAGCTACATGATCCGCCGCTCTCTGGAACAGCATGGGCTGCCATGGGCCATCATTTCCATCCCAGTCAATGTCACCAGCATTCCTACCTTTGAGCTGCTGCAGCCCCCGTGGACCTTCTGGTAGAAGAGTTGATCCTACATTCCAACCATAAGCAAATCTGGGTTGGGGAGGGGAAGCCTGGGAGTTCTGCTGTTTGGGAGTTGGGGAGAGCATTTGGGAAGGAGTGGGAACCAAGGGAAAGGCTTGGGCCTTGGCTAGGCTGAATGAAACCACACAACTAGCCTTCCCTGCCCAAGCCCCAGGGCTTGTCTAGAGGATCTGGAACAAAAGACAACTTGCTGTATCCTACCCACGGTCTTTTCACAATGACGTTGACAGCTCTGCCTGCAGTAACTGGAGGGTGTCGTTTGAGGTTTCGGGACTAAACCTTCACTGACTTTTTAGCAATAAAGCTACTCATCAGGGTTGCAACTGTTTCTTAGAATAAGAATACGCAGAGGCGGGAAGGGCCTTCACAATTCACTCGTCCCATACTCTCATTTTGAGGGAAAAGAAATCGAGAATAAATGATTTGCCCAATTCCCTTAAGGCTACTGATCACAGCCCAGACTGCTTATCTATGATCCCAACAGTCTACTCAAGCACAGTGGAAGCCCTAGTTCAGTCCTCGATGGAGAAAACTCAACTTGTAGCCTGGTGTGGGAACCCACACTGGACCTTCAGAGGATTCTTGCTTTTGGAACAGAGATGAGCTCAAACAGGAAGCCTGTGATTCCCATCTCCCACCACTGCCTGGTTACTGGACTCCTTTGAACTCACCTATGTGAGTGCCCCAGAGTCCTGGTGTGGTGTTGTAGGATAAGCACCGGACTACTAATCGCAAGGTTGGCAATTCAAACCCACCAGCTACACCTTAAAACCCTATGTAGGGTCACTAAGCATCAGAACGAACTTGATGGCACTTAACAACAATGTGGATGCCCAGGTAGCCTGTGAAGCCATTCTCCATAAAGCATTCCTCCAGAGGCCAGTCACCACTTATGTTTTATTGAGAACAGTGGATAGGTGGGCCTGGGGGAGGGCACTGGCTGCTGTGGAGGAATAAGAATCCAGTAGGTGAGGGGGCCAGCCAAGCAGGATCCAGCTGGCTGCATGATCCAGGAAAGGCCTGTGGTGCACACCTGCCTTCTTGTGATCCCTCAGCAGAGAGATAAGGCAGGCCCCTCAAGGAAGGTAGGTAAGGAGGACTTGCGAGTGATGAGGTGTAATTCCAACAGCCCCCAACTAGAGAACAATAGGTAGTGCTAAATGAGGAGTGAGGGGTACGGTCAGGGCGAATGTCAGTTTCTAGTCCAGTTCCTTTAGGTTTCTGGAAGACTTCAGTGCTCCTCTATGGAAACCCTACAGATTGAGGCCATGAGAGACCCTCACTGGCCCAGAGGACTCTAGAACACCCTAATTTAAGGAGCACAGGCCTATCAGCCCCCAAGTCTCAGCCATGCTGTTAGAGTCCTCGATAGGTAGAAAGTGTGAGGAAGGAAGGGGTAATGATTCCCATGTGCCCTGTCTGAAGACCAGGCCTCTTCTATACCTCATGGGGCCAGTCATTGTGCCAGGGGCTGAAGCAAGGCACGAGGTACAGAGATTCGAGCATCTGGGGAAGGGGCCTTTCCACGATCCCAGCTGTTGCAGTGATGGGAGTGAGGTGAAGAGGGACGCAATCCCCCTAATCCAGTGTCCCCTCCCAGACAGCCTTACGGAAGATGCTCTGGAGGCCCAATTCCTTCTTGGAGTCTCTAACAGTTGCCTTATCAGTTACCACTGTGGGAAGTGGGGAAGAAGGAGAGGGAGCCTTTCCCCATCCCCCTTTCTGCTTCAAGGATTTGCCACATTGTTGATAGTTGCCGTCCAGTTGATTCCAACTCACGGCGACCCCATGTGTACAGAATAGAACTGCTCCATAGGGTTTCCAAGGCTGCGTGAGATTATCTTATTTCCCTCAAAATTGAATAGCAAATTGAGGGGGAGACGGCTCAGGTGAATGAGAAAGGGCCGGCTGTGAGCCAAGGGGAAGAAATACTGTTAGGCCTTGGCCTCAGTTCCAGCCCCTCACACCCTAAAGTGGAGTCCCTCAGGGGAAGGCCAATTCTGAAGGGCTCAGTGACAGCGCAGAGTCTGAGCCAACTCAGCAGCAGTGTCCAGGGCATGAGGTCTGGTGGGGGGGGTGAAGGGCCAAGGGTCCATTCTCCGTCCCATCAGGCAGAGACAGAGCTAGAATGGGGGGCAAGCAGGCAACAGGGGTGGGGATTTCCTCCTAAGCCTCTTCTCTGGATGGGAAGGGCCCCTCATTCTGGCAGGGTCTGGGGTAGGCCCGTCTGGGCAGGGCGGCCTCACACGTCAGTCATCTCATCCCCCAGCTCTGCATCTTCTGGTTCTCCTCCCTCGTCCTCATCTTCCTCATCCTCCTCCTCTTCTGAGGTCACATTGGGTTCATCAGCCTCTGCCAGGCATTTGGGACACGAACAGACAAATAGATAGTTCTCCCTGCAGGGGTTGGGGAGGGTTGGGAGGGAGGAGAGGAAAGTCAGACAGCCACAGGGACAGAGGAGCCCAGAGGCCTGCTACCTGTCATGTTCCCAGCTCTCACCTGAGGATCTTGTGGCGGCTGTGGCGGCTGCGTTCCCGCTGGCAACAGTCTAAGTAGCTGATACAAATTTCCTGCAGGAGAGGGTGGGGTGTCCATCTCAGATGGGAAAAGTACTCCCCAAACCTTCCCCGGCCCCCAGGATCCAGGCCTGAGCAGCCCTTCAGCAAAGGGGTAGCTCTGGTGTCCATGCCCCGGCCTTGAGCAGGAAGGCCACTAAGAGGCTCCGACATCTGTGCCTGAGATCGAAGGGGCTAGGGTTGGCTTTAGGCAATGGTTAAAGCCAGTCAGTGTCTCTGACTGGGGTCAGGAGTATCTGGGTGTGATGCTAGTTGTCCTGGAAAAAGATTCAACCATGTGCCAACAACCAAGACCCCCAAACCCATGCCAGTCCCCAAGGAGCCATTTCCTCCTGGTTTCTTAGAAATTAGATTTGTTGATCAAGAGGTGGCTGAGGACAACATGGGCATCTATAGTGCCCTTTCAACATTGCTCTGAGGTATTCCAGGGTGATTTTTTTTTTGAAGAAGTGGGATAGGGTGAGAGCATACCCATGAATAAAAGGATCTATGCCATAGGGCACCTGAACTTTAAGGGTCTCCAGCCTACTGCTGCTCCCAATCCCTGAAGAGAACTTCCGTAGCCCACTGCCCACCCTCAAGGGCTCCTGGCCCCTCTCACCTCTCCGGGTTTAATATCCTCCAGGGCGGTGACATGCAAAAGGAAGTTGTTTTCTGGGAAGGAGGTCTCTGCATTGGGGACACAGCTGTGGTTGCCTGGGTCATACGAGGAAGCCAGGAATGATGCCCACTGGCTAAGAAACTGAAGAGCCTCCACAGAGAGCACTGGGTCCATCCTCTCGTCTCCTGGTCCCTGCCCCAAGTGTCCTGTGCTCCATCCACCAGGGCTCTCATGTATAGACCACAGAGCACAGGCACAAATGCACTGCCACCCCATGAATGCCCTGCTCACCTCCTCCCAGGCCAAGCTCATTCGAGGTTTGATTTGCCAGTGTCTCCAGGAGGGCCAGGGCTCTGAACAGGATACTCACACCACTTCACTAAACTCTGTTTGTTACTGAATGTTTGGTCAGCTGAGCCGGGCCCTCTAAGAGCCCAGTTTGGGAGGGGTGGAGCGGCCCTGCCTGCAGCCTGGGAGTTTGTAGTAAGGAAACCCAGAGGGTGGGAGGCTAAGGTGAAGAAAAGGCAGTTGTCTGAGCTGGCTCTCCCCTCCCATCAGGTCCTGATGAGCTCTCTCCTCCCAGAATCCTGAGGGCCTCCTAGTCAAACACTCCGTGCCAAATCTCACAGGCCAGTGATGGCCCAAAGCCTACGCCTCCCTCTGCAACAATCGGAGCTTTGGCCTGGCCCACTAGAAGGTATAATATATGAACATAAATTCAAGCATGATCAGTTAAATGAATGAAAAATTTATGGCACAAAAAGACCCCAGGTGTGGCCTCAAGAAAGCTCTGACCTAACCCTACTCCCAGATTCATTCCACCAGCCTAGAAGGAACCAACTGAAAAATTAACTGTGCTTTCAAGGCCACTTGGCAAAGCAGAAATGCCCCCTAGTACCCCTCTCCTCAATGTCATGACTCACAGCAGCTCTGAAGTACAAAGAGGCCAGATCCTTCACAGTTGAGAAACTCGCCAGTTGCTGTTAAGACAGTAATATGCAGGCGTTATTTTTCCCATTTTATAGGTGGGAAAGAAAACTAGGCTTAGGTGCACAGGGACTGGCGCTGCTGTCCAGCCACCCCACCACACTAATGTGCCTGGTCTCCACCATTTTACCCAAATTTGCTTCTCTGAGGTACAAACTTTGCTTTTCTAGAAACATCACCCTATTTGCCCAGCACTTCAGTCCCAGCACTGAGTCTCTGCTTGGCCTTTCTTTGTCTGCACATTCTGTGGACAGATCCGAGGCTCCCCAAAGGCACGCAGGGATTACCTTTTTCCACTGTAAATTTAGCATTCCTGGAGTGGACTGTGCATTCACCACCTGACTCGAGAGGGTCTCCAACACCCCAGCTTACCAACCTGCCTCGATGTCCTTGTACAGTTGATCAATAAAGGCGTCCAGCTGCTCGCGGTCCCGAGGCTTCAGTTCCAGGGCATCACAGGCATGGACCCACTGGCTCAGGGAGCTGGGGGCCCGGCCATTCAGTCCATGGTTAGAGAGGAGGTGGCCTAGGTCACAGGCTTCTCCATCTCCAGGCAGTTAAGTCCAGGTGGAAGGGTTTCCCACCCAAACCTTATGTTTTTCTTAGGGGTGGGGGAGCAGCACATCTTATTTTCTGCAACCAAGCCTTTACACTGGTTTATTCCAATTAGGACTTCTTGCTGAGAATTTGCTTCTTTTACCCCATGGTAGACCAAATCAGAATCCATGTTTTAACAAGATCCCCAAGTGATCCTTATACATACCAGAAAGGTTCTTGTTTATACATAGGAGTCACCTGGTGACCCTGTTAA